GGGAGGGAGGGAGGGAGGGAGGGACAGGAGGGGAAAGAGAACCGCTAAGGTTTTCCAGAGGATTCTTGGCGCTGCCACTCGGGATTTTGATTCCTGGTGACTGCCCTCTTTCCGGTACCTTACCCTCCTCTCTTATTTCCTTCTCCCACCCCCTAGGCTGGGACTGGAACATGTACAACCGGACCCACTACGACCACGACAACCCCCCGCCCAAGACCGTCCAAGGTTACAAATTTAACGTCTTTTATCCTGACCTGATCGACAAGACGAAGGTCGGTTCGGGGGGGAGGTGGACAAGGGGAAGGCAGGGGGGAGGGGGAGGCCAGGAGGCGTCTGCCTGGCTTCATCAATCTTGTTTCGTTTCCTTTCCGTATCCTGTCAATTCAGGCCCCGACCTTTTTTATGGAGAGGTGCGATAATCCCGAATTTACGATAATTCGCTTTCACGCCGGGCCGCCCTATGAGGACGTGGCGTTTAAAATTCTGAATAAGGAGGTAGGCGCAGAGCCTGAAACGGAACCGTGATGAGTCACGGGACACGTTGCTTGGTCTGAAATGTTTGCGATGAGCCCATCAAGTATTGATGTTCTGCTCACATTTGATGTATCTTTCTTTCCCTTGCCCCTCCCATCATATATTTTCCTTACTGTCAGTGGGAGAAGAGCCACAAGCGAGGATTCAAGTGTCTTTTTGAACGGGGAATCCTCTCTCTGTACTTTAATTTCAAGAGAGCTCGCTACCGTCGTTAAAGTGTAGAAGGCACGTAACGTTGCAAAAATGATAGAAAGACGAAGAATCATGCAGGGAAGTGCAAGAAACGACAAAAGAACGAGCAACACAACATTTGCGAATAAAATAAAATATTAGAAACCCAATACATAAATCCATAAATTAAGTTTGGTGATCCATTCCTTTCCTTCGCTATTTCAGAAGGGCCGCAGATATTTTGGGGAGCCTCCCGCCATCTTTGGAGGAGGTTGTCAAGCCGGGAAGCCGTCCACCTCTCACACGGAAGCTAGGCAGCCGTGAACTACATGAGAGATCTACCACAGATGAGTACCTTCAGTTGCAGTAGTGCCCTGTCGCCCGTGCACGTCCTTTCCTAGACATTCTACTTCTTGGCAGGCAGTCCGAGACGTTACTCTGTAACGGTCATCCAAACGTTTCTTTTCCCAAACCAGGACGCGGCATGTGACGCCCACCCAAGCTCTGATCCAGGGCTCTTTGAAGCCAGCTATCAGCTTGTTGTTCATTCCTGCGACAAATTTGTGGCCTACTCAGAGTCCTCATGTATGTGCCATGTTCTTGAAAGGCAGTGGATTCACATGAATCAATCAAATGGTGCGTGCACGGAAATGACAGATGGGCCCACTATCACTGATTTAAAAGATGGCATCATCTGCCCACCCCCGCGTCCCAAAGGTCATTGAAATTCAAAGAAAATCGACGTTGCGACCCTTTTGAGGACACTTTAGTTTGGTTAATGAACATGCTGACTATCCGACAACATCCCGAGAGGAGAAAGGGAAATAAAGAATTGCTTCAAGGCTTCTGCCGTTCTGCCGCCGTGTCGGACGGTAGTACATTCAGATCGTGGCCAGTAAAATTTCGCGAAATGTGATTAAGAAAACAGATGCGATTCAGAACGCTACTGAGTTATTCTTGTAGATCTTTCGACGAAGATCTGGTCGGGCAAAGTTCTTGCGTATTCCTGTTCTTTCCAGGAGCAAGTCCTCTGTAACTGTCCGACACCACGGGCTTCTTGAATCTTTTGCAATTCTATTGCATCATTGGACAAAGTGGCTGAATTACTTTCATGGGCTGACACGAAAGCCAGTCATAACGACCCACGCCTATTGCTCCTTGCCCTGTCTGGAAAATGAGGCATGTGAAGTAGTAGAGAGCCCTCATCCTCATCCTGATACAGCTGGGTCGGATTTATAGCCACCTGTGGAATTTCAAAACCCAATCGCTCACTCATGCTTCCACCACCAAATTGCACAGGGACAGCACGGGGTGCTGTCCGCCTGGGCCGGCAGGATGGCCTCTGGACGGTGGCGAGTGCCTGGTGGGAGAAATTTGGCGAAGATCCCCAATGTCCTTTACCGCGCCTCCACGAAAACAAATGCTTTGCCCCGCAAAATTGCCGTCACGAGAATGCTGGCGTTTTGCTCCTGCTTGGCTGCGTTGGGATGGGTATGGTCCAGTCTGCAGCTGAACAAAAATTATAGATTGGATCGGATCCCTCTCTCCTCGGCGGCGCTGCGAGACCTGCTGTCCATGGAGATGCAGGCGTCGTATAATCTTGTCGTTCCCCACGATTCAACCTCCCCGTTTTCTCTACCGATCATTCTCT